TATATATATATATATATATATATATATATATATATATATGTTTATATTTATGTATTAAATTTAGGCAAATGGATTCTATCAAGCATCCGGCTTGTTTGGTTTCATACCGCTGATGTACGTTTACATATCACATCTTTTCCATAAAATAATTGGTCCGACTGTCCGATTGTTTGAATACAACAGGCCAAGATGGTCATATCACGCAAAAGGCCTATGGATTGATTCCAAGCAGTCATCCCTTTCGGCTACTATGATTGGGTCCTCTAATTTCGGTGTGTTTCCAATTTCAGGACTTATAAAATGTAATTAATTTATGGCAGTGAGTTTGGCAGCTCGAGTAGCATTGTCAGGGTAATTCCAAATTGTAACATTTTATATGCGATTTAAATCAACCTCCAGAAGAAATTCAGTCAATCAAGCCTGACTTCACGACAAATATGAATTTTTTCTCCGTCCTCGCCAGTTTCCTGGAAAATGTACCACTGTGCTTCACTTCATCTAATCGTTTTTGCTTCTTTTAGCTATGCAGAAAGTTTCTTGATAAATCGTTATGTAGCAGAGATTTCCTAGGGCTAGTTTAACATAGGAAATTGTTTTAGACTTGCATATTTTAACTTTGCTTTCCAAAAAACTATGAATTCTACTTTTGGAAGATCTAAAGAAATATTTTTTTTTGTGACAAGTTTCAAGGTGTGATGCAAGTGTCTTGCATGTGACGGGTATTTCCTTGTAGATTTTGCAGGACACCGCTCTGTATATCGAGATCTCGAAGCGCAGTTCCTTATAATCACCTGTAACGATAAATTGAAACTCAAACTACAAGAGGTAGGTTCTACTTATAGTATTGATGAGGAAGACGACTTCTGTGTTACTTAGTAAGTGGGTTGGGAACTCTGATAGTTCTTTTCTCAGATGGAAGATCAGCAATTCTATAGCAATGGATTCTGATCATTCTATATAATTTAATGAAAAAATTTAATGGAATGTTTAATGAAATGTAATTTAATGAAATGTTTCAAGGAGCGTTTGCGGATATTGGACTATGCAGCAAAAGTGGATGCTGCAACCTTCTTACGGCGTGATCATTTCGTTCCACTTTGGATTCGTTTAATTTCCCGGTTTATTCGAAATTATTTCTAATGCTATGCGTTAGTATCTAATCCATTTCTTGTCACTCTGTAACACCAGTAATTATATCGTTTATTGTAAGTGCATTATTTGTTAAATTCCTTCAATCGGTGCTAAATATTGATTGTTAGTACTTTTATTATTCCTTATTCATTAAATGCAACCTTTAATAGAGTATTATGTATTATGCTGTTTTTGTTATGTTTGCAGAATTGTTTGTTGTAAGTGTATAAATATTTTACCATATAATGCTTTGCGTCATTCCAATGATATTAATGGTACGAGTGCATGATAGTACTTTATTATGCGGTGGAAGGTTTTTGTTGCCATTCATCATATCCATACAGTGACATTCTGTCCATTGATTAGACCATCGGTTTACAATGTTATTGATGCAAAATACACCAATAAAAAGCGAAACTGACACAAAGTGCAGTATGCAGGTTTGCAAAAAAAAAAAATGCATTTTGCGTGGGAGTTAGTATATGTAAAGATCAGTCCATAAACATTTGACATATCCAGTTCTTTCGTCATGTCATCCACAAATCATGCCCTTCTAAATCTCCTGATCATTGGTATTACTCTTTTTTTTCGTCAACTCTTACTCGTTATATATTTGCTTCAACAATGTTAGTAAAACTATTAAAGATGGGCTGAGATAAGCAACATTTAGTCGAAATATTTGAAATGATTCTATGAATGCTGCAGAAAAATCTAATAGATTGACATGTTTGTGTATGTAGAGGAAAAAGGATATCGATATATTGAAAATTATGGTGGAATAGGTTTATGTGTAGTAACATGATAAGCGATATGTAAGGTGATAATAGTAATATCTTAAGTTGTAATATGCATTTGATACAGATATGGTACTGCTACAAGGTTTGGTGTTTGGTCGTGTTCTAATGGAATCGCTAGCACGAAAGGGAGCAGCTCCAACAGCAGCTACTGTACGTCTTTCTCATCGAAGCCGAACTCAGCGTAGAGGTGGGATGCATCGTGGTTTCAAATATACAACAAATCCATATGAAAGTAGAGAATTACTGCAAAGGTTAGAAAGATGTTCAGTTCGCCATTTCTCATCTGAAACGACAACGACGTCATCATCGAAATTGTTGGAAGAGCTTCTCAAGGATGAAATTTGGTAAGCTTTTATCCATTTTAAAGATTCATTCGGCATTTGATTTCTTTTTCTTTTTTCTTTTTGCATCCCTTTTGTCGAAACAGTATTGTTTTTTTCAAGTTTTATTAGGGATACTTATGCATTCAAATTGATCTACTTGGAATAAGAAAAAAAAAACTTACCAAGTTGTACTGTTTTCTGATTTCAAACATGGCATTTTGCTTATCTCTTATGAAGTCATGGTGTCATCTGTAAGTTCAGGAGAATGTATCATTCGGAGAGAGTGCTTTTTCAATGAACCATCATCCTTTGGGCTGATTTTTGAGGAATTTTGACTGTTTTCTTGAATTTTTTTTCCTAACTGATAATCCAGTTAATTAACACAATTATCACTGTTCTTTACCTCATCTAAAGGAGGAATTGTATGAAAATGCGACGAAGGCAAATTTTGTGATTTTTGAATAGATGTTGAACTATTGTTACAGGATTCTTCAGTCCTTTTTGTTTAAGGATTCCAGTTTATCGTTTTCGTGGGATCCATTATTCTGTTTTGGCTACGAAAATGAAGCTCGCGTTAACAGTCTCGAGTGTGGCTTTGATACCATATAAATACTGGCAGTATCTTGACGAGGCAATATCCATTAACCATTTCACATCCATTTCGGCATTCGCCACTTTCACAACTTTAGCATTCATCGTCTTTTGCAAGTAATTCTATCAGTGTATTTATGCTAAACTAAACAGGTGAATACTGCATACTACTGCACGGGAAGGTTTGGTGGTGTAAACTGATGGCTGGAACAGATTTATCTTAATTGAATGACGAGGTAGTCCTAGGGAATATGTATATGTGCGTGACAGTGTATTTATGTTTGTGTTTCTAGCTGGCATTTTTCCAGAACTATCCTAGTTTCGTTAATTTCGTGAATTTCTTAACTATCAAAATTTTCAGGTTTTTCAATGGCTTAATAGGTGTCATTTCGATGAACGAAACAAATGAATATATACGCGTTGGATATTTATCATTTTGGGGAAGCAGACGTAATAAATACATGAAAGTAGATGATGTGATACCGCTTAATGAATCAAGCACCGGCATCAGTGGTAAAATTGTGCGGTTTCGACAATACTCATCGTATGTGAATTTCGTATCGAAGTTAAGGCGGCACACTGTTCAAATATTCCATTTGAATTTAGGGGATTTAGAATTTTAGGATCCAGGGTCCACACCAAAGATATTTACTTTATTGATACCGCAGTTCCACTGTTTTCGGATTTTATTAAAAGAGGTTGAGAAGAGAACTTACCTTCTTGCTGGATTATGAGCAACTAGAAATAAGAGATATGATATCTTCTGGAACTCCTTGTCAAAATATCTTCTAAATGTGTCTTTTTTTGGTTTGTATATTTATTGTTATTTCTTGCAGGAAGGAAATGCTAAATCTATCATTGCTTAGTGCGGAACTGTTGGATCAGGAACGGGCCACTATCCTGTTCGGTGATACCAGTGTCTTTTCCTCCTCTTTCAACAAAGCGAAATGAAGCGATTTCGAAATTGGATTATACCTACTTATCAAACTATTTAAAACTGTGTTTCTGGTAAATTGATTACAAATTCTCACTATTAGTTATTTTGAGGATAAGTAGAATACTTGCGATATTTTGATATTGGAGATATATCTCTTCGTATTTGTTGCAGTAAGTACGCATTTCGAAAAATAGTTTCAGGCCATATGGAACGAACCGTATAACAAGCATCTTTTCTGGCGAACTGATTTAATGACCTTTTCATTCTGGATATTTCTTCCTGTTCGATTACGTGTTAATCCAGATCTCTATATAGACATTTGAATTGTGGATTTCCTTGTGTTTCGCCTATACATTTGTAGTATTACCCTTCATAGTTAATGAATCTCCACCGTACCAACTCAAAAATTATCTATATCACATTGCAACAATACATCAAAGCTCTTCAAACTATTAATCCTCTTGTCGTGAGGATTTGAGCTTCTTTCAAGATTTAATCAGCAATGGTGCAGGCTGCAACTAGTAGTTGAAACAAATTTATACAACTTTTCTAGTCTTTTATTGTAAAAAGGTTTCGAGATACAAACAGCAAATTTGTCAGTGAAAAAAAAATTGTTGTGCATTAAGAGTAAGATCTAGAATGATTGTTTTCCTGGAGAATAACTTTTGCATCCAACTTAGCTCCTTAGGAGGAATTGAAGTAAAAGCAAAAATCTTTTTTTTTTTCTTTCTAGTATTCTGAAAGGAGTTACATAGAAAATATTTAAAAAATTTCGTCGATCACCATATCCTGTTAATATTACCAGTTAGAAAATGGTTTGCCTGTGATGGAATGTCGCAATATGATCCTCTAATTGGTATATCATGAGAATTCATCGTGCAATTAGTCTGTACTAAGTTTTCTGTAAATTCAAATCATTACAGCTTACATAAATGAATACACGTATTACACATGTATTGATTCATTACGATATTATATAGGTTTCATTAATTATGATATATATGTATTTAATAATTACGATATTATATATATATATATATATATATACAATGTCATCGGGTGCAGAAATTTTTGCAAAAAATTGACACATCATTTAATGTTTTTGCTGTATTCGATAATTTCAAATATGGTGAATATTTTTAATTCCATCAGGGGGAAAAATGAGTCATCTTAATATAACAACAATAAAATATAACTTAAATAATATTATTATGAAGTTATTGAAAGATTAAATTTTAGTAAAAGTGTCATATCCTGTTTTTACCTAAAGTACTATTCCCTTCTCATAGATAACTTAACAAAATTATCACTTACCAAAAGTATGCTGAACTACTTGAGATGATTCATTATTATACAACCAATTGCATTCATTTACTGATTCTGATATCATTCCTGATGACATTTGTGAGTATGGAAAGAAATGAATTGGTGATACAGTATGCATTGTTGAACTTTTTGATGCTAAAATTTTTCAAAATTAATTAACTTTTTTATATTGCGTTATTTAACATAAATAAATTGTAATTGTTGTAATATTTTTGAGCATTTCAAAGAAAGGCTGGGGGGGGGGGGAAAAAGAGTTAGAATTGGTAGTTGAAAAGTTTTGAACATCAAATAGTAGTATCATTTCAAGTTTACAATTTAATCCATTTGATAATTACAAATGAATGATATCGTTTACTTGGATTATTTGAAATATTTTTGATACTAAATTAATTCCAATTATTTTAGTGATGTTACAATTATATGAAAAGACTGTGAAATTGAAGATATGATGACATAGTTTGAATTTTTTGAAATTAATTTGGCTATTTAAAACTGCCTGAATGGAAGAATTTATTTTGTAAACATTAATTAATAGAAATTAGGAAATGAATTTTGAGTAGAGTATGCTAATTCCTTGCTTCTCTTGTGTTTTTTTTTCCCCCCCCCCCCCTTTTATTATTAGTAATAACGAAAATGATTTACTTACAAGTTGGTAGACAGCATGAATCATTCGTTGAAATGATGTGTTTATTTCTGAGAATCCTAGAAATGGAACTCACAGATGGCAAATTATGCTTATGGCATATTCTGTCGCGTAATAATTGCTCTCGGATTTCCCAGGCAAAAATTCGCGGGTTACGAAGTTTCAAAAAATGTATATACTCAACTACCTGAAGTATATGCATGTAATTCATTAAATAATTGTGATAAATTTAAAAATACATAAAAACATTTAAAATATCAGAAAAAAAATTCAACCCATTTCAAAATATTAGAAATTAAAGACATATATCAAAATTTGAAAAATTGTTTATTTAAAAAGAAGGAACTTAAAGATCGAAAAAGAAACTAAAAATTACTTCTTTACCAGGAATTGTTCTCTTTAACAAAAAAAAAAAGAAAACGAAAATTTGAAGCAAAATAATGCTGAATTATTGAGAATTTTTTCCTTTAAAAAGTTAATCTTTGATCGAATTGATCAATTTGCTTATTTATAATCAATTTTCCATTTTTAATGAAAGAATTAAAAGTAAAACAAAAAAATAAGAAATTTAACATACCACGGGAGTTGTAACACGTGGTTTACTACCACCTACGGTACCTGGCATTACAGTACCATATTCAGCGTAACGTGATAAAATTTTGCTAATACAACCATGTGAAATTTTTAATCGTCGTGAAATATCACACGGTCGAAATCCATCTTTTGTTAATTCAATAATTTTGTAACGTAAACGAAGCGGAAGTGGTCTTCCATTTATGAATTCACCACCAAGTTGATTTACCTCAATGCTAAATGTTCCTTAAAAAAAAAAAAAAAAAAGAAAAATTGTTCTATCCTCTGGAACTTTTCCCTTTAGCATTTAAACAAAAAAAGAAAAAAGATAATTAATTAAACCTTTCTGTGATTAATTATCGATAAATTAATTGATGAATCTAAAAGACGAATTTTGACAATATTTGATTGATAAAAAATATAGCAAATGCAAATTATTTGTCATCGAGAAGAAAAAAAAATGTTCAATTAGTTCATCTTTTATTTTTACACATGTATTGCTTTTAGATATGAAAAGATTATCATGATGATAATCAATTATCATGATGATAATCAATTATCATGATAACAAGTGTAACATAAGGAATGGATTAATAACAGTGTTAGTTTTTAAATGATTAAATTCAATACTGATTTTAACAAATTCATACATTGTTTAGATTTCTTAATCGCACAATTTCCTTGTTTATTGACTAAAAAAAAAAAAAATATACCTAAAAAAAAGGTAGAAAAATGCGATGATTTTACTTTTTTTTCCTCGTCTCTTTTCATTCTATTCAAATTTTTTAAGTTTTAAATTTCAAAATTTTCAACCTATTTACCTGGTGATGTTTTTGTAAGTG